TCTTTTCTTTTCTTTTCTTTTCTTTTCTTTTCTTTTCTTTTCTTTTCAAGCAGGCTCCCTGTGGGGTGTGGAGCCCAACGCCGCAGGACCTGAACTCACAACCCTGAGATCAAGACCTGAGCTGAGATCAAGAGTCAGATGCTTAATTGACTGAGCCACCCCGGTGCCCCATTTTTAAAAAAAACATTCTCTTGTCTTCCCATGGAAGGTGTCTATAAACAGAATTTTCCAAAATAGATCCTGAAGATCACGTAGTTATGAGCATGTGTCAAATTTTTATTACAATCTGGATGAAATGGAAAAGGCCTCTAGTAAATGAAGTTAAAGATTCATTGTTGGCGAGGAAATTTTATACAAAGAGAGTAGAAAAAAAAAAAGGAAGAAGAGTGAAAAGGTCAGTAAATGCTTGCCTGGCAGCAGAGTGGGTGGGTGTCTGGTTTCCTAGAACAAGCCTTAATCCCTTTAAAGTTCATCAGAAATATTGCATAAGCGTGTTTATCAGAAATGCGAATTTCTTCCCAGAAGGAGATTATGCATTATGTAACGCAAGAAGGACCATGTTTGGGATAACTGTTTTCTTCCACAGCACAATTTAGACTGCTGATCAACTCCTTTTTCATCATGGTGTCCCTAGTGATAGGAAAATAGGTCAAAACCTGGAAGTCATCCTTGATTCTTTCTTTCCCCCACGTCCCTCTTTTCATTAATCCACAAATGCTGTAAAATCTGTCTTTCCAACGAATCCTACATGTGGCCACCACTGCCAACCTTCCCGGTGCCACACAAGTACATGCCATCCCCATGTTGCTCCTGGATGTCTCCAGTAACTCTCATCAATAGCCCTTGTGTTTTTACTCTTGCCTCCTCGCACTGAGTTACTGAGGTGATACTTTTAAAGCAAAGATCAGACCGTATCACTTTCCTGCAGGGGCGTCACGCTGCAATTAAAGTAAGATTCCAATTCCTCTTTGTCCTCAAGGCTCCATGTGACCTGGAATTGTCATTGGTGTCTCTGTCCTTCTGGCCACACTGAATTCTTCCCTGTCCTTCGGGCTCACCAAACTCACCCTTGCCTCAGGGGCTTTCCCTGGCTTATTCCTTCTCCTTAGCAGTATCTCCCCCTAAACTGCCCCAGGGCTGCCCCCACTAATCACACTACCAGGCTAGCGGAGGCCCCCTGAGGACCCCAGCTCACTAATGCTCCTCCCTACCCCTGACTCTCAGCCCATTGCCCTGCTCCGGTTCCCTTTTAACACCTCTCACTACCTGGTACGATTTTTCTTCTTTCTTTGTTTATGTGAGTATAGTCTGGCTTCCTCCACCCACAATATATGTGTCCTGGGGACCAGGCTTTATCAGTCTTGTTAACTTCTGAGTTTCTATAAGCTAGAATTGTTCCTGCAATAGATGATTGTTGGAAGAACTACTGACAGAACGTGTACCTGATAGATGACTTCCTTGGGTCACGATGGGAGGAGACCTTTGCCAAACACAGACACACAGGTTTAGGATGTGTGTGTGTGAGAGAGACAGAAGATGGAAAGGAAAGGAAGCAGGAAAGAGGGACAGAAGGAAAGGGGGAAAGGGGAGAGGGACAAGAAGAATATTTTCAGAGAGGGATGAAGGGAGAAAGAAATACAGTGTGAGAGAGAGAAAATACTTAGGAAGAGAGAGAGAGAGAGCAAGTGAGACTATGTGGACAAGGTAGAAAAGGAGGCAAGTGTGAAACTGTTAATAACTTCTAATTATTGAGCACAACCATAGGTCATGTGCCATACTACAAGTTTAAAAACCATCAGTTTGTTGCGTTCTTGCAACACTTCTATGAGGTAGGTAATATTATCATCTCCATTTCACAGATGAGGAAACTGAGGCCCAGTAAGGTAAGAGCAAAGAGTTAACGACTAATCACCAGAAAGGGGCAAAAATTGGGCCTTGAACCAAGGTCTGTTGACTCCTACCCCAAGCCCTGACCCCACCACATGACGGTGCCCAGCCCTGGGGACAGCGGGGAAACATGTCTTCCAAGAGGGAGTCTACTTCTATTCAGGTTTCAGGATGGGGTTAGTGAGCATTCCTGTCTGAAATGATTCATTGAAAATGGTCCCTTTAGGCCCATGGGAGGATCATCATTGAGGGTATTTGGCAGGATCATTTATGACACAGTTATTTGTTTTCTTTCTGCTCCTCCAGAAAGCAAACAAGAGGTATTGTAACTCGAGCCACAGTTGCTCAATTCCAGACTAGGGTTGACAGATCACAAAAGAAACCCAAGAACAGCTCTGAGGTACATATACCTGCTGCATACTCATTGAACTTCTGTTTGTACTCCTCAATGGCTTTGCCCCTGGAGCCATGTTTGAATATCTAACGTGATGGTAGCACTAAGTACAGAGCAAATTTTCTGTGTAATTAAATCACCTGATCTTTGAAAACCACCAGCAGGAAATGCAGGAGAAGAAAGCGGTGTTAGCTTAGCTTACATGCAGGCTAAACTCATTCCCTGCGGAGAAAATTCTGGAAATTCCAGAGACTCTCCTTAGCAAGAGGCACAGTATTCACACACACAAAAATGTATGCCTGTGTCTCAGGATTCACTCCCACCAAAGCCCACTTGTGACACCGTGAGGGTTTCTAAATTCTTAAGAAAAAAATCCTCTAAATCTACATACTTGATGTCTGGGGCCAGCAAATGTTTCCGATAAAGGACCAGATAGTAAATATTTTAGACTCTGTGGGCTACACAGTTTGTTATAAATACTCATCACTGCCATGATGGCTTCCAACCAACTACAGCCAAACACATAAATGAATGGGTGTCACTGTGTCCCAATAAGACTGCATTTATGAATGCTGAGATTGGAATTTCATATCACTGTCTCACGTTATGAAATATTCGTCTTTTCCTTTTTCCCCAGTGATTTACAAAACCATTCATAGCCCACATGTCTTGCAAACACAGGCAGCAAGGCAGATCTGGCCTGAGTTTGCTGACCCCTACTCTACGTCTTGGAATTACGGTTTCAAAAGGGACATCCCTGAATCTCTGCCACTCCTAGCAATCTCCAGATAAAAACAACATCAAATGCAGCATTTCCCACAGTGTGGGATGCAAGGCAAAAGCAGGCAGTATTTGAGATTTTAGGTAGTGAACCCCAAAGTGAGGTTTTTATCAACTTTCCCATTTACTGCAAGAAAATAGTTCCCAGGTATCTTTAATTCCCCAGCACTTGCTAATCAATCCCTTCAAGGTTGTAAGAGGGGACCTCAGGCAGTGAGAAGTCCAGCTCCAGGCCAAAATTCTACTGTGTGATCTTTCAGACTCAATCACAGGTAATGACAAGGCTGCTGGCTGGCTCTGGAGGGGCTGGGAGCTACCCTTGTGACACCTGACTTGGTGCACAGGCAACGCCCTGTAGTTTACTTGAAGGAATTGGGGTCAAAAATTCAGGTCCCTGCCCTGGGCCAGCCACGCTCAGATGCATATCTGCATTCCCATCCCAGGCACCTCCATTTTGAGGCCTCCCAGGGACAAGGGATGGGAAGGATGGACACGGGAGGGGGGGATGGATTGGGAGGGTGGTATCTTTCCACTCCTCCCTCTTTCTCTTCTCCTTCCTCCTCCCCTGGCCTAAGGTCAGGGTCCTAAGGATGCAGAGGCCTTGAGATGACTTTTGCCTCTAGGCTGCATTCTGCTGATCAGTACCCTTTGCCGGGTAAAAATGCAACACGGGGGGCTAGTGCCTCTTTTTGCCTCTTGAGTACACTGTTGCAAAATGTAAATAAACACTTGATTCTTACTTGCAGTCGGACCCCTTGTCCTAATCGACCACCTCCACGCCCACTTGTTCAACAGGATGCTGGCAACCAGGCAACAGGCTAAGCTCGAGCTGCATAATATCATTTTGTTCTTATTATGTTATTGTTACTCTAACACATTCCCCTCTATTATGGCAAATGGCACTGGGTTTCTTTCTGATGATATTTAATTTCCTCCTTAAGTGAACTTATTTAAGGACAAAAAAAAGAGTGACTTAGTTGTAAATACTGAGTGGATATAGTGTGAGGGGGCAAGTGGATATAATGAAATAGTGACTGGGATTGGGGAAAGGGATATCACTCACTGCTTCTGGGGGATTCTCTGGCCTTCAAAGGCACTGGTGACCAAAGCGCCTGTACCGTCTCGTGCTGAATAAGCATGTGTCTGCTGAACAGCGGCAAGAACACACTTACATCCCGTATCGCTTCATAGAGTGCTTTGAAAGTTGGCTGCTTTTCATCGTGGTAGACGCCTCGGTTCCCGTGCAGAACAGACACGCCTTCCCGCTCAGCCTCTTTGCAGTTGCTTCCGTACATGCAGTGATCGGGACGGTAGTTCCACTGGCACGGGAACACATAGAGACACTCTGGCGGTGACAAGAGAAAGACGTGTCCGCAGTCAGTGCCGGCTCTCCTTCGCATGACTGGTGCTTAAACCAGTGTTTCCATAATCTGCACACCACACGGGATTTCAGTGCATGGGAATGTGACCGTGACCCACAGCCCTGATGTCACTCCATTTTTGTCCTTATTTTGAGGTAGGGAATTGAAGGGGCACATGCTAATGAGGCTGTAGGTTTCACCCAAAAAAGAAGGGCAATGTATCACGGACAAGGAGGCAGACAAGGTCAGCAGACAGCCTGGGTCCGAATCCCAACTGTCTTCACTCAAAAACAGTGCAACCTAGAGCCAGTGATTCAGCCTCTCTGTGCTTCATTTTCCTCATCTGTAAGATGGGTACAACAGGACCTCCCTCTTACTGTGAGGATTAAATTTAAAAAACATTCAGCAGAATGCCAAGCACACAGCGGTGGTCAACAATGCTAGCACTTATAATCCCTCTTTGTAAAGGTTTTATGAAATAGACTTGAATGGGAATCAAGATCGAAGCAAAGATTCCTCTTTGGATTAAAAACCAAACAACAAACAAAATCAACAGGAAGGAAAAAACAAACAAAAAAAACCCTACAAGGGTAAAGGGGGGGAATCCCCCCAAAAGAGCAAAGGGAAAAAAAAAGCCCCCGTGTCAAGGTGACTATATACACTGTGAACAATCATGTGCACACTTGTATATTTGTGCGTGCGTCTCTAAGCTGGTGGTTCTTTGCCAGGGCTCCCCTGGGGCCATTGGGTGATGTCTGGAGGGAGATATGGAGGAGGCCACTACTGGTATCTAGCAGGTAGAGATCTGGGATACTCGAAACATTCCACAACGAACAGGACAGCCCCCATAAAAGTAACAGTGCCAAGGTTGAAAAACTCGGCTCTAATTCTGTTGGACTCAGAAAATTTCCTCCTGGTAGCTAGGGTTGTAAAATCAGCAATAAAGTCATGTCCACTGAGCTTCCTGGCTCTGTAGCTTGATGCCTTTTAGGGCTGGGGCTGGAGAAGTATGGATCAAAGCTCTCTGCGAATGTTTGTCACTGTTTATGAGAAAGGCCCCCAGTGAGAACACAGAAGCATTAGAGCAAATCAATTACCATTGTCAGAAGAGCAACATAAAGCTGTGCTCTTTTGTTGGGCTGAGAGCTCTCCCTTCTCATGGAAAGGACCACAGCTTAGAGAATTACAGAGAACTTCAAGATGGAAAGCACACATCCTCTCTGGCAGACTGTGTATAATAATTCCACCACTCAGTTTTTACAGGCCACGCTGACATCCAGGCACCCTCCAGTTCCTAAGCATTCCCAACACCCTGTGAGCTTTTCCTTTTCTCTGGAGGACCCCTTTCCGCCATGATGTTGCTCTTACATTCACTTCCACACTTATAATCCATAGCTGGGAGAGAGTAGTGCTCATCCTGAAGTCACATTATCTGGATTTAAACTCCTCTTTTAGTTGTGCGACTTTTCTGCCCAATAGTGCAGAGGGGGGCATAAGGGTTCCATGAGGGAAAATATCTAAAAATGCTTTTTGCTTTTATTTTTTATTATTATTTTTTAAAGTTTATTTAGTTTTGAAAGAGAGAGAGAGCACAAGTGAGCAGAAGAGGGGCAGAGAGACAGGATCCCAAGCAGGCTCCATGCTGTCAGCGCAGAGGTGAACGCGGGGCTCGAACTCATGAACTGTGAGATCACGCCCTGAGCTGAAACCAAGAGTTGGTGCTTAACCAACCGAGCCACCCAGGTGCCCCTGCCTGTGTGCTTTTAAATGGTGTCTGACCTCAGCCCAATTGTGGCCTTTTGTAACCCCGTGAATCCCATCACTCATTTCTGATACCTGCCTGCATCTGCAATTGCAATTCCTGCTTAAGCACCTGCTAATGTTCCCTGCTGAGTGAATCACCCTAGAAGCCATCTCTGTTTCTGTAAATATGCTGATTGAATCAACAAATATTTATTGAGCGCCTGCTATGTATTCAGTGGACAAAGGAAAGTCTGGTTCCTGCCTTTGTGTTGTTTGAGACTGGTGATGGAGGTTTTTGCCTCTTCCCAGGTAATGCAGGACCCACTAAAAAAGGAAACCTTCCCCCTCTTTGCAGCCTCCGTAGAGGACCTAGTCCAGTGAGGGCACTCTAAGGCAGAGGATGAATAGAAAGGCTGTGGAATCAAACAAAGGCTATGTTCGAAGTTGGCTTCTATCACCTCCTGGTTCTATGACGTTGGTGAGTTATCTGGACCCCAATTTATTTTTTTATTTTTATTTAAAAAAAAATTTTTTTTTCAACGTTTATTTATTTTTGGGATAGAGAGAGACAGAGCATGAATGGGGGAGGGGCAGAGAGAGAGGGAGACACAGAATCGGAAACAGGCTCCAGGCTCTGAGCCATCAGCCTAGGGCCTGACGCGGGGCTCGAACTCGCAGACTGCGAGATGGTGACCTGGCTGAAGTCGGACGCTTAACCGACTGCGCCACCCAGGCGCCCCTTGGACCCCAATTTAGAAGCAGTAAAAGGAAGCTAAATTATCTGGGGCTGAATGCCAGCTTTATCATGTGCTGGCTGTGACCGTACAGTGTAATGGCTAAGGAGGCAAGCTCTGAAGTCAACCCATTGGGTTTGAATACAGGATTACCACTACTTGCATGCATTCAGGCAAATTACATAATTTTTGTGGGCCCGAGTTTTATCATCTGTAAAAGGAGGAGGACTGTAAATATCACTTGTCCAGAAGGATTCTGGGGAGTACGAACTGAGCTTATAAGTATTTGGAACATGCTGGCACAAAAACAGACACTCAGGTTAATGGAACAGAATAGAGAACCCAGAAATGGGCCCACAAACATATGGCCAACTAATTTTTGACAAAGCAGGAAAGAATATCCAATGGAATAAAGACAGCCTCTTCAGCAAGTGGTGCTGGGAAAACTGGACAGCGACATGCAGAAAAATGAACCTGGACCACTTTCTTACACCATACACAAAAATAAACTCAAAACGGATGAAAGACCCAAATGTAAGATAGGAAATCATCAAAATACTCGAGGAGAAAGCAGGCAAAAACCTCTTTGACTTCGGCCGCAGCAGCTTCTTACTCAACACATCTCCGGAGGCAAGGGAAACAAAAGCAAAAATGAACTATTGGGACCCCCTCCAAATGAAAAGCTTCTGCACAGCGAAAGAAACCATCAGCAAAACTAAAAGGCAACTGACAGAATGGGAGAAGATATTTGCAAGTGCCATAGCAGATAAAGAGTTAGTATCCAAACCTGTAAAGAACTTATCAAACTCAACACCCAAAAAACAAATAATCCAGTGAAGAAATGGGCAAAAGACATGAATAGACACCTCTCCAAAGAAGACATCCAGATGGCCAACTGACACATGAAAAACTGCTCAACATTACTCAGCATCAGGGAAATACAAATCAAAACCATGATGAGATACTACCTCACACCTGTCAGAATGGCTAACATTAACAACTCAGGCAATAACAGGTGTTGGCGAGGATGCGGAGAAAGAGGGTCTCTTTTGCACTGCTGGTGGGAATGCAAACTGGGGCAGCCACTCTGGAAAACATTATGGAGGCTGCTCAAAAAACTAAAAATAGAACTACCCTATGATCCAGCAATTGCACTACTAGGCATTTATCCAAGGGATACAGGAATGCTGTTTCGAGGGGACACATGCACCCCTGTGTTTATAGCAGCACTATTAACAATAGCCAAATATGGAAAGAGCCCAAATGTCCATCGATGGATGAATGGATAAAGAAGACGTGGGGTGTATATATATATATTATATATACATATATATACATATATATACATATATATATATATACATTCATATATATATACACACACACACACAATGGAGTATGACCCGGCAATCAAAAAGAATGAAATCTTGTGATTTGCAACTACATGGATGGAACCAGAGGGTGTTATGCTAAGCGAAATTAGTCAGTCAGAGAAAGACAAATATCATAGGACTTCACTCATATGAGGACTTTAAGACACAGAACAGATGAACACAAGGGAAGCGAAGGAAAAATAATATAAAAATAGGGAGGGGGGACAAAACATAAGATGCTCTTAAATACAGAGAACAAACAGAGGGTTACTGGAGGGGTTGTGGTGGGGGGACAGGCTAAATGGGTAAAGGGCACTAAGGAATCTACTCCTGAAATCATTGTTGCACTATATACTAACTAACTTGGATGTAAATTTTAAAAAATAATAAAATAAGTATTTGGAAGAGTACCTAGCACATTAGAAAGCATACAATAACTGTTAGGTGTAATAATTATCACCAATGTTACTGTTAAGAACTATTGTTATTAGGTCACTGGTAGGATAAAACAAAATCAAAGCAATGAGTCTAGCATAGTTCCCAACACATAGTACATTGGTAATAAATGTTTTACTCCAACTGTTTGTAGCTATGCAGGTGGCCAGTAATTATTAAACTTTTATTGATCCACGCATCTCTCTCGGAATGCAATGAAACCTTGGGATGCCTGGGGGGCTCAGTCAGTTAAGTGTCCAACTCTTGGTTTCAACTCGGGTCGTGATCTCACGGTTTTGTAAGTTTGAGCCCCACATCTGGCTCCAAGCTGACAGTGTGGAGCCTGCTTGGGATTCCCTGTCTCCTTCTCTGTCTGCCCTTCCCCCACTTGCACTGCCTCTGTCTCTCTCAAAATAAATAAATAAACTTTAAAAAAATTGTAAAAAAAGAATCTAACAAAAGCTTTAGACCCCATCGTTGGAAAAGTACAACTGGATATATCTAAGAACATTTGCTCATAAGTTTAGGGGCTTACTGATCTCCCAAAGACCAGCTAAGAACCCAGAGGTTGAACTCTGAGTATGCAACTGGTTTCTAGACAGAATTCAATTCACATCTTTTACAATCCTTTTCAGAATTTTTCAGAGGAAGAAACACAAAACACATGGAGCATATACATTGAAACAAGCATTTATTCAC